TCAATCTCAGGATTATTCTTCAGCCATGTTGAGGAGAACATAACAGTCTGAGTGAATATGAGGAGTAGTGAAGTCAGTAGCACTTTGAGGATCGCCCCTTTGGTCTGAGCTGAGGTAGAGGTAAGAACTAGTGGCCAGCTGCTTTCTTCTCTGATCTTCAGCTTGAAGGTTGAACACCAATATATGTCTCTTGATCTTTTATTTATCATGCTACATACCACAGGTCCTCGAAAACTCAAAACATTCCTTTTGTTTCACCCTTTTATTATTGGTAAATTGAATATTCAACCATCCTGTTATGCATCCCAGATATCAGAGCATATTTCTTCAAGTGTGTGCCTCCAAGAGCCCACACTGGTACAGCACATTGTACCGTGTTGATTATTCTTTTTCCACATCTCACAAAGCCTCCTCCTTTCCTACACATTCTCTAACAATTAGTCCACTTCTTTATAATTGCCAGCATCTGCTGCAGGTCTGTCCCTCTGAGTTCTGTCCACCTACATGCAGAGAAACAACTTGTATCTCAAAGAGCAAATGCTGTGGTATGTTACACAATTAAGCATTCTACATATACCATACGGTCCAGAACATCATCACTTTTAGTGAAGACCCTAATGCTAATGAAAAAGGTGCCAATCCTGCCTCAGTCATATACTGTCAGTGATATCTCATTGACAACAGAGGGGTTTTCTCTCCTTGTGGATTTCTGGGTATTTTTACTACTATACTTTTTATTAATTCCTTGGGAATTTCATGCATATACACAACATATGTTGATCAATTCTCTACCCTATTTCTCCCTCTAATTTTTCCCAGATCCCCTCCCTACTCGTGCTCCACTCCCAATTCCTCCTCCTCACCAATCAAGTCCAGTTTGTCCTCTCCATATATTCAATCATGACTGTGGGGCCATCCAATTGAGTAGGATTGACTACTACCAGAGACTAAACACTTGAAGAAAACTAACTACCCTTCCTCCAAAAGGTGTCCTCTGACAATAGCTCACCAGCTAGTGGTGAGGAATCAAGACACTCCATCTTAAATACTGAGCCTAGACTTGCTTGATCTTGTTTAGGTTCTCTGCAGGCAACCATGGATGCTGTAAATTCATGGTACTATCATGTGTAGAAAACATTGCTTGTCTTCAGTTATCTCGAAATTCTGGCTCTTACAATCATTCTGCCCCATGTCTTCTGGAGAGACTCCTGTGTCTTGTGAGGAGGGATGTGATCTAGACATCTCATCTGTGGATGAACACCCCACACCTCTTATTCTCTATACATTGACCAGTTGTGAGTTTTTATATTCTTTTTCGTCTACTGAACAAAGAAACTTCTCTGATAAGATGGGAGAACTGTACTAATCAATGGTATGTCGATAAAAGTTCGGAGAACAGTTTAATACCATATCATTTAGCAAGATGGTATTTGCAGATTCACTCCGTGGCTTTTGAGTTCCATGACCATGACTTCCTGCCTACATTTACTGTACCAGGCATACATTTCACTCTGTGAAATGAGCCTCTTATCCAATCAGAAAGTAGTTGATTACCTCCATAATAGTTGTGCATGTCCAGGGGCATATCTTGCCATAAAGTACATCATTCTATCACAAAGTTTTACAGTCAGATAAACTGTTGAGTTTTCTTCTACAGAAGACCACACAGAACCTTCTAGTATTATGAAAGCTAAACAGTGCTAACTCAATTTCTCTGTATCCTGTGACTAGAATATGTGGTGTTTTCAACAACAGAATCATTTCACCAAATTCTGGTGTGAAATCAAGATCAATGTCAATGGCTTGTGATGTTTTTGAGTAAATATCAACAATTCAAGGTAAGGTATGGTACACTTGGCCCTGAGGTTTTTATTTGGCAACTGGAGTATCTGGAAGGAATATTATAACTTGTGTTAGATAGTAAGGTAATTCCAATTAAACACACACTTATGTATGTGTGTGTACAAATATATGCATTTCTACATTTACACATTATATATACATTTTATATGTGTATTTATGGACACCTACATATACATACATACATACCTTTATGCATATCTGCATTTTGAAGAATGACCACCAGAGGGCAGGAGAAACCAACTTATAAAGTTCATGAGTCTATGATGGTTTATTTTTTATCATATAACTTCTTATTATTTGTCCTCAATTGTATTTTTTTAAATATAGATAATCAGTAAACAATATTTCCAAAGTTCAGGTGAAGTGCTTCCTGTGTAGCTTTCAACTTGTGACTTGGTTTGGTGAATTTTCTCACTATAATTATAAATAATCAAGAATAAAATATTTCTAAATGGTATTTATTAAAATTCATGTGTAGAATCAATCTAATAGCATCCAAATATTTCATAATTACCTTAGTTGTTTTTGCAACATTTCCCACTGTTAAGTTGCTTGGACAGACCAAAATATGTTATGTTTACTGAATAATTATGCAGATATAGGTGTATTCATACAACATATGCATGCATGTATGTCTTTTTATTATGTGTTTGTTTGTGTATATATTCATCTCCAACCTTTAATGAATACATGGTCAAGATTTTCAGCGTCTTAACATTAACTAGGTCATCAAAATCTGATGTCTCAATAGTTTCTTACAAAGGATAATTGTATTTTTTCAAGTATTTACATCTGTAGCATTTATATTAGTTCTCCAAAACTGTTACCAAGAAATGTGACATGACCATTAAAAAGAAGGCATCACTAGGTTGAACTAAGCTGTTCTGAAATGATAGAAGCCATTTTAAAAAAGGAGAATATTTCTGTAAATACATGAAATAAAACTGTAAGTGTGGCTATAAGTAATAAATGACCATCACATGTATTTTTAATATTATTTGACATCTGAAAACACATTCTCTTAAAAAGAGATACTTCTTATTAATTTGCATAAAATATTTTTAGGATCAAAAGCTATTAAAAAGTTGTCTTACAAATCTAAAGCATGGCTTAACTTTGCAGATTTTACAAGATACAAATAAATAAAGTGGTCATAAAGACATATGGAAAATATGTAGACTTTTCCACATCCATAGACTGTCTCCCATGAGCCCTTGCAAATATCAAGCTAATGAACAGGTCTGATATATAATATAGCAATGAACAAAGGGGAAAAACAAATTGTTGGTTTAACTTGCTGGTCCTAGTGACAATGTAATATTGTTAAATTCTGCCATTAATAAACAAAATATAGGGTACAAAATTCCGGCACTATTTTATGGTAAGTCCTCAATTTTTCTAATTATTTTAATAATGATAATATTTTCAGGACTGCTATTTACCTTCCCTCTTTGCTTTTCTTGTTCCTTCTCACTGATTCATCTTGTGACATTAGGATTACTGTCAGTTCAATAATACCTATGGCCACCTGGCGATGCTCCTGTAGGCATGCCCTTAAGTGGTTATCTTGTGGTAATACCCATCTTTTTTTTTTTTTTTTGCAACTATAATTACATTTTGCCCTTCCTTTTCCTTCCTCAAAAACTGCCAGGATACTCTCCTTGCTTTCTTTCAAGCTCATGGCCTCCTTTATTATTAATTGTTATTACAGTTATGGGCACGCCTGGTTTGTTACGGCATCCAACTACAGTCCTAATGTTTGAGCAACAAAAATTCTGAATCCCTGAGCAATCTCTTTAGTTCAGAAATACACTTTTAAAAGTAAAATCTCAGTTAAGGTAGGTCTAGTCTCCTTCCCAGTGTAATCGATGTTTCCATTCACCAGTGCTGCCTATCTTGAAATCTTATACAATTATCATTCCCAACTCATAGCGTATTTCTTTCTCAAGTTCCATAGAATTCAATTTTGCCCTAATTTTATTCTACGAAACTTTTTCATTGCAGGTCATACTGTTTTTACATGTGAGCTTTCCTAATCTTTTTTCAAACCTTTTAGCTATGCCCATGAAGGACTGCTGGCCACTTCTTACATAGCAGTATATCTAAACTGTAAACACATCACCAAGACAACTACAATAAGAAAATGCCACAGAAGACAATGCTTGAGAATAAAGTAATTGCAGTTAAGATTCTGTGCTTACTAAAGATTTAGTAGCTGCATGCTGACAGAAGACCTACACATAACGTAGAATGTCAAGTTGCATCAGAGCATACAAATGCATTTGTCAGAGACCATTAGAAGTAGATGTCAAAAATCCTCTAGAACAAGATTTTTCTAATACTATAAGATACATCTTGGGAAAATCATATTCATATCATATTATCCACTGTTAGGAACATGACAATGACTTTATCACTTCTGTTTTTCTTTTTCCTTTCTTAAAATTTTATTTTTTTATTTATTTTTTATTTATTTATTTTTCGGTTTTTCGAGACAGGGTTTCTCTGTGTAGCTTTAGAGCTTCTCCTGGAACTAGCTCTTGGAGACCAGGCTGGCCTTGAACTCACAGAGATCCATCTCCCTGTGCCTCAGGAGTGCTGGGATTAAAGGCAAGCACCACCAATGCCTGGCTCTAGCTTCTTTTTTTCAATATTAAAAACGAGTTAAAACAAATAAGCAAAGGGAGAAAATAAAGCATCTACATATCGAGAAGAAACAAAATTCTCCTTGTTCACAGTTAATATTTTTATCTATAGTTTTAAAACAATCAAAACAACAAATGCTCCTCAAATTAACACACAACCATAGCAAGGATCCAAGACGAATAGTTACTTTATCCATAACAATTATTTTCCAGTATACTAGGAACGAACATCAGCACAACGAATCTGATTTCTAGGAAATAAACCTGTATGCCAGCCAGCCTACTTTCTGGAAATACCAAGTATTAGAAGCGAGCTTTAGCCAGGTTGCTAGGAGACAGGACTCCTAGGATTCCAGAGGATTTATGAGAGGTGAAAGGCACAACCAGACTCAGTTGCTCAGCTGAAAGATTGATCATACTACTAGCCAATCAGAGAACGTTCGGACCTCTCCGCCAGCCAATTGGCAAGCCAGAACTCCAGTCAATCACGCCATTACGCTTCCTGGAATTTCTACGTAGTTGGGCACTCGCAGCTGCTCTCTGGGCCCTCCGGTGCTGTTTGGAGGCTGAGCCAGTGGGTCAAGGGAAGCCATGCAAACCATCCCTGTTGTGGGCTTGGGCACCTGGAAGGTGAGGATACTCTTCGGTCTGCGATTGTGCTGATTATGGGGGCTCGAGACTGATGAATACTTGCTCAGGAGCGGCCAGGATCGCGGGGTGACTGCCTCCACACCCGGGCTCTGATCAAGGTCCTGCCTGAAGTGATAGAGGAGAGTTGGGCTGCGTCTTGTGTAACAAGTGTTACAAGGTCCTAAAACACCTGCCCCCTGCCCGGTTGAGGTTGACAAGCTGTCAGGCTAAACTTTATATAGAGCAAAGTGATCTTGAATTTGACCTTGTGTGAGGCAATCACGCACTTCTAACCTCCAAATCATTTGTGCCATGTAGCAGTAATCCTCCTTGCACACTAAAACCAAATGCAAATGAAACGGCCACCAGGAAGCACCCTACTTTGCATGCTACAATAACCAAAAGAAACGAAACAAAAAAATTAATTAATTTCGCTAATGTAAGTTTGCTTCTGGCTTCCACTTAATGACAGTAGAGTTATTTGCTAGTGATTCCACTGCTTGCGCAGCAGATATTAAACTTTGTTAAAAAACACTTTTTAAATAGAGAGAATGAACATAAAGTTGGGTGGGGAGGAAGGCAAGGAGGGTCTGGGAGGGGGCCAACATAATATAAATTGTATGAAAAAATAAATAAAATAAAAATTCTGTTCAGAAGAGGCTTTTAAAATAAATGTCTGGAAAGTTTTGTAAAAGGGTGGGGTTTTTAGGCAGTTTGATGATTTGCATGCTCTTAGGTGTTTCATAGTGAAGGTTGACATGGAAGAAAGGTCAGTAACTGTAGAGATGAAGGCTTAGGAAAATCAAGAGGTCTCTCCAAAGTTGGTCTTTTCCTGATTCCTTAAATACCTATTTCTGTTGCTCTTACCTCTCACTTACTAGCTCATTTGACAGTGTTCATACTTTTATTTTCTATAACTGAAGAAGGATAGTCTGTTATTAATTTTGAACTTCACTGAACCTGCAATTAGTTATATAAAAACAATCACACCGGCTGGGCATGCCTTTAAATCCCAGCACTGGGGAGGCAGAGGCAGTCAGATCTCTGTGAGTTTGAGGCTAGCCTGCTATACAGAGGGAGTGCCAGGATAGGCTCCAAAGCTACAGAGAGAAACCTTGTCTCAAAAAAAAAAAAAAAAAAAAAACAAAGAACAACAACAAAACAATTACACTGGTATATTTTAGTATCATTAATAAGTATTTGTAATTAAAACATGAAAAAAGCATCACCTTCCCAAAACAATGAAAAGAATTAATTCTATCTCCAAAGACACAGGTGTATGAATTTCCAAAAATGTGGAGAGCACTGGAAAACCACAGCACAATGTGGCATTGACTGGTGGTATTAAATAATGTAGCTATGCTAGTTATGTATGCTGCTTTGAATAGTTAAGTAAACTCTGGATCAAAGCAAGGAAGAACTCAAATTCAAGACTAACTTGGGCTATTACCTCTCAGATTTAATGGAAACATATACTGTGTGTCATTAAACTTCTCCTGTATGTGTCATTCAGATAACTTATGGGTGCCTTTTGTCTTACTTTTCCGGTTGATTCAACATTCCTGAGTGTTAGATCCCAGACTGCTTCATGCCCAGGGTACTGTTACTCATTCAGTAATCATGCAGGAGCATGACATACAGCTCATCCTCCGAAAGAGCTGAAAATGCCTGTGGTCATCCCCCAGATGAGTAAGGTAGCCAGACCACTAATCACATCCTGACTCCGACACTCCCTGACTTTAGGTTTGGGTGTTTTTGTATGACTTGGTTCTACTTTCCCAGGTGACAAGGGGGACACTGAATTGGTTTCTCCTGATGACAGAAGGATCGTTATGTTTGTTTGTATTGCAGGCCTCTCCAGGAGAAGTGGTCGATGCAGTTAAGACCGCTATCAACTTTGGGTACCGGCACATTGACTGTGCTTACTTATACCACAATGAGGGTGAGGTCGGAATGGGAATCAATTCCAAGATCAAGGAGGGTGTGGTGAAAAGAGAGGAACTGTTTGTTGTCAGTAAGGTAAGATTTCTCAGTTGCAAGGACAACAGGGTCTCAGCCCCTGCAGTGATGGATACTGGGACAGCTAGAATCATCCAGCCTAGAGGATTTTTCAGTTTCCTTATGAAAATTGGTGTCCTGGGTTTGCAGATGATTCAGAAATAACAAGGTCTTCTACAACTTCCTGAACATGTGAAATTACGTTATCTATAGGTTTGCTTAAGACTCTTTTTTTTTTTTTTTTTTAAATTTGGGCCATTCAAATGGACATGCAGAGACACCACCAATCAACAGTCCATTCATGCACACCACACTTGGTTGAGTGATGACACCTTTGTGCCTGAGGTGCACAGGATAAAGTTCTAACTTTGGTAAACTCTTGTCTACACAAACATGCCTAACTTGGAATCCCCTGCTGGTGGTGGTTAAAGTGCACTTTGAAAAATCCCCACTAAGAAATTGATGCGCTCATTGATAACTTTACAAACAGGAAGTAAACCATAAATGAACAAGAGGTGTGCATGAGCACAGCAGATGTAGGAAGGAGATGGAGGCTGGAGAAATGGACAGAGTTCAAGTCATCGAAGTCCTGGCATGGAAAAAGCTTGCACTTTGCCTTGAAATTTAGGGGATTGAGAACAAATAGTTTCTAAGTAAGGTAGTTTCTTTTGCATGTGAATGAGATGTGTGTATAGGACATAATGGTAGCTGGCAGGAGGAATGTACAATTTAGACAGGATGTATTAACAGTGTAGGTGGGAGATGAATATCTGTCCCGGCATAGTAAGAAAGAGGAAGTGGATATGAAGCAGAGTAAGCAAATAAGCCCTGTGGACAACACAAGGTTAAACCAAGACTTAAAAGCTGCTTTCTTTTCTTTTTTTTTTTTTCTTTTTCTTTTTTTTTTTTGCCAGGCATGGTGTCACACAACATTAATCCCAACAGAGGCTAGCAGATCTCTATGAGTTCACACCCAGCCTGGTCTACATAGTGAGTTCCAGGATAGCCTGTACTACATAGTGAGATGCTGTCTTGGGATTCGGGGGTGGCAGGGAGACTGTTTTTTTTTTTTATGTTTTAAACCTTGATCCCAATTGTTAATACCAGACAACAGTCACATGTTTAAATTTCAGCTATCATCCAGGAGGTTGTCAAGTGGCACACAGTCAGGGTCCCAATGTTAGCATTTTTCAAATGAGAATTTGAGTTTTCTGGACTCATGAACAGTTTAAGATTTTACATCTATATGGCATATTTCAATGGTGTTTCTATTGTAGACTTAACTCTTTGCTTTAGTTAACATGGTTGATTTTTACTGCTCATCTCTATTGTGTAAGATCGAGCAAATGGAGGAATGGAGATGAGTTGGGGCATGCTTGCTAAGGACAGAGATTTTCTTCTGAGTCAACACACAGAGGGATGAGGAACTAGGGATTTCCAAGTCTCTATAACTGAAGTGCATATTGCTTTCGAGTGGGTGGTAGTTAGGAGTGAAAGTGTGCTGATCATTGTGGAATTTGAAAGAATCACTGAAATATAATTGAAGTAGAGGACATTACTTATTTATTCACAATAGGAATTATTGTTAATAATGTGATGTGTTTACTCTAATTTGGGTTTCTCCCCTCCTCCCTTTGTCATGTATGTGAATCTATGTCAGTGTGTGTATTTGTGGTATGAGTGTGATGTATGTTCATGTATATATGCCTAAGTTCATGTGAGGAAGCCAGAGGAAGATGTCAATGTCCTGCTCTAACACTCTACCCAACTCTTTTGGGACAAGGTCTTGTTAATCCCATAGATATGAAGATAAAGACCATTGACCCAAGCTGTGGCCAAATTAACTTTAAAAAGCCGTTTTTTATTTGTGTACATAGACTGTTCCTAAAGGTAGGTTCAAGAGATCAGCACTGGATGTGGGTAAGATACGGATTTTTATATTTCAGGACTAGGAGTTTTCCAAATATGTGATTGGTTAGGCAAATAGGCAAGATTACATGAGTACAACATAAGCATAACATGTTGGTCATAACCTCCTGAAACAATGACATGGTTGCAAGGTGGTCATAACAATCTCCTGAAACAAAACACAGTTGCTATTTCCTGGAACAGGCAATAGAGAATCATTTGTAGTGAAGGTGACTGGAGGGACACAGACCAATTCTTGAGAAGAAGATTTAATCATAAACAGGAATGAAGCTAGTTTGTCTTTGTAAGATGGCTTTCAAACTCAAGATGAAGGCAGGCTGATTTATTAGTTTCTCACTGAACCTTCAAGTGGGCTCACAGCCTCCCTTTAAATGCCTTCCTGTGCTGCCCTGAACCTTCTCTGAGCAGGGAAGGCTTCCTGCTGTGGAAAATGACAATCCTTTTCTAAGGATAATGTCACTGTTTATTTTTTGGTTTTGCTTTTTTTTTTTTTTTCAGAACATGCAGGTGCAATTTTGGCAGGGGGAGGGTGACGACCAATGAATATATGACCAGTTGGTTTTAGATTATGGCTTTGTAACAATAGTGTCCCTTCCCTTCTGTAGCTGTGGTGCACCTACCATAAGAAGTCTTTGGTGAGAACAGCATGCACCAATACCCTGAAGGCCTTAAACTTGGATTACTTGGACCTCTACCTCATACATTGGCCCATGGGTTTCAAGGTACCAGTCACTTTGTGGCTAGATTTCTGCAAAGAGCCAATCAACATTAGCATGGGTGAGAGGTTGGAAGCAAAACATTTTCAGTGTTTTATCATAGAAAATGTATCTAAAATAGGAATTAAGCTGGAATTTCCAACATTTGAAATATTAGAAATTATTAAGTATGTATTTTCTGATACTTGTCCTGTGACCTACTAGGAAGGTATAATTGGTCACAAGAGACATGTAGTCTGTAAGCCCTTGTTACTGTTCAGCAGAGTGACTAAATTTTTACCTCTTAGCATGTCTTCTTCTTCCCTCCATACCCTGCCTTGGTATTCTCACTTGGAGGTCACTCATCTTGATGGGAAGTCTTAGAAGAGTCAAAAGCCTAATAATATTATTGGGAGAAAGTTGACTATATTGAGACATGAAGGAAGTCCCATTGTTCTCTGATTTTAAAAATCTGAACCAGGTAGGGATTCAAACTTTATGAAAGGTTCTTAATGGGATTTGGCTGGCCTCACCCTTCCTTCCCACTTGGTGGCAACTTTAACTGAGCCTAGAGAAGAGAAGTGGCACAGCCAGGCTAGTAGAACTTAGCGACAGGATTAAAGATAAGGTCCTTTGGTGTAGACTCTGCACATCTGTCTTCTCTCCCTACATAGTTTCCTGATAGAGGATGCCATAAGCCCTAGTAAGCTTCTTGTGTTCTGGTTCTCACAGCCCGGAGATAAAGATGTGCCTTTGAATTGCAATGGCCTGGTAATACCCAGTAATACCAGCTTTTTGGACACATGGGAGGTAAGCTGAAGCACACCATCTGGTTACATCACCCCCACTTACAGATACCCAAATAAAAGATGCACAAAATCTCTTGAACATCTATGTTAAAATATACCAGGTAATATGTGGTTTGAAGTATGTGATGGTTAAATACTGATTGTCACCTTGACATGATCTAGAATCAGCTAGGTCAAGAATCAAACCCAGAGCAAGTCTTTGAAGAGTTTCCTATATTGGATTAAATGAGGCTAAGAGGAGTCACCCACAGTGACAGTATCATTCCATGAACTGGGGTCCTGGACTGAGTAAAAAGTCTTTTTACATGTGTGCATCCATGTCCATTTTCCCAACTGTGGATGTAATATGACCAAGATCCTCACACTCCTGTTACCAAGACTCCCCCACAATGATGGATGAACGGCCATCCCTTTAAAGTGTAAGCCAAAAGTAATTCCTTCCTTATGTTGCCTTTTGGTAATCTTGTCAAAACAAAAAGAGAAGTAGCTAACACACACCACGAATTATGGATGAATACTTGAAAAATTGAAGATACAAGAAATGAATTTTTCACTAATTCAACTTAGTTTAGTTTCTAGAATAATACAGATCTCTCCTTTTCCCTCAACTGTTTCTTTTTCAAATTAAAAAAATACCATTTTTTCTAGGAAATACAGAGCAATAAAAAGAGAAATTTAAAAACCCATATTTCTATCAGCTTCCGGCAATAACTAGCATTGTAGCCATCTCCTAGTTCCTGAAGGTTACATTTTGTTACAGAAACATAATGTTGGCAACATTTTGAAGCCCATATTGGGAAAGTAGGAAAAGGAAAAGGTTAGAGAGAAGATGAGAGATTGTCAAGTCAGTGTCCAGGGTCCAGATGTAAAATGGTGAGCGCTCGAATTGAAGTGGTGAGCAAGAAAAGTCAGGAAGATGGTAGACTTGAGAGTCCCATGAAGTCAGTGAAGCTGACAAGGTGGGAAGAGAGAACAGCAAGGCTCTCTTTCTGTCAGCTCTAACACTATTAACTGCCCAGCTTGAGGAACAGAACATCGCCCATTTGAACAAGTTCAAGGATTAATCCGCAAAGCTTGGGGAAGAGTTTCAACTCAAAAGATGCAATATGAAGCCATTCCTGTGAGAATGATGGGTGAAACTGTTGGGATATTTCAGGCCCTTAGAAAGAGAGACAGGAAGAACAGAACAGACAGGGAGAAGTACCTGGGCTAGGCAATGACAGCCTCTCCTCCTGTAAAACTGCAAAACTTGGAAACCAACCAGAAAGAAACTGAACAAAGTGTTTCTGAGGGTCTGAGCCCTTTCTTTCACCTTGGACTTCTGCTCATCAGATTTGGGGTTTAAACCCCAGTTGTTTAAATGTCCATTGTGTTTATTGGGTGATTTTTGCAGAAACTTAATTCATTGGTTTCTGTCTTTATGATCACCAGAGGCTTATGCCTGACTTCATACTGCCATGATGCTCATGGGTTTTCTGAAAGCCTAGGTAGAGGGCTCACTTATCAGAGGTCAGCCCAGTTTCAGATAGCTTTGCCCTCAAATTACTTAAAATGTGTAATGGTTAGACTGAGAAACGAGAATGCTGACCTATCACTGAGCTCAGGATGAGTATCAAGGTAGGAAGAAAAGGGAAGAGATAGAGACAGCAGTGGAGAGGACTGCTCTAGGTCACTTCAGAGCATGGGAGTAGGAACAGCACAAATACACTGAATGCTGACATCCAGCCATGGCCAAATGCTTTGTGTGTATCATTCCATAGAACATTAAAACAGCCCTGGTGTAGATAATATTGTCCATGTGGTTTTGTAACTTCAAGTAAAATACTTTTAAAGTATTGGGACACTGTTGCAAGTCACTAAGGGAATATGGCTTGTCAGGGAGTTAGACAGCATGTATAACTTGTATACTCATCGCATTTCTTTCTCTCTCAGGCCATGGAGGACCTGGTGACTGAGGGACTGGTGAAGCACATTGGGGTGTCAAACTTTAACCATGAACAGCTTGAGAAACTTTTAAACAAGCCTGGTTTGAAGTTTAAGCCAATCACTAACCAGGTGAGCTGATGGATGGTTAGAAGTTTCACACAGTGTTTTTCTTTTTTCCTCCATGGGGCGGTGGGTGGATGAGACAGGTAACTTGTTTGCCTGTGTTAGCTGTCAGAATGGTAAAGAGGTTACAGGTAGAAGTGACTGGTTGAATGGGCAAGTGTCTCTCTCTCCAGCATATGTGGTTAGGTGATGCTGTGGTTAGGGTGGATGGAGTGTGACACAGATCTGGATTCTTGACAGGTGTTTGGAGGCAGATGACCAAGTGTGTTCAGAAGATGGTGGTTCTCTCAGACCCTTCGCCCCCATTAAAGAACAGCTGTCCCCTTTCACCCACCCAGCTCATGCGCAAGAGTAGTGGATAGCGCTGTCTCCACCCAGGCTGGCAGAATCCAGAAAGGAATCTCTCCCCCTTGCCATGCCTGTCCTTCACATTCTGCTACAGAATATATAGTACCCCAAATCTCACATTTTATATGTTTCCTGTCTATTATTTGTCATCAGGATTTAATGACCCTGAAATTTTTGTCTGAAGTTGGTTGTAGGTTTAGCTAAAAACCTGAGTGTTAGAAGTTTTTCACTATTTGTTGAATAGATGCAATTAGAAAATTATATGTGACAAGTATATGTTGCATGTGACATCAACCAACCTTCAAAAGTGACTTCTCTGGAAACCGATGCTTCTGGATGTGGCATGATCCTGAAAGCAAGGGCACTGCTCATAATTCTTTTCAGTTCCCTCTAAATGAACATTAGTTATAAGTCTGTTTACAACCTGGAATTGTGCATGAGAAAACGGAGGAGGCAGAAATAACTGCTCTCACGGCTTCTGTTTGAAACTCAAGTCCTGGTGACAAAAGGTAGCCCAAGAAGCAAATTAAATGTGCAAGGTGTTGGGTAATGTGAGGACTATAGGAAAGTTGAAGGGGAGGAGGGAGAGGGAACGGATTCACACTTCTCAGGCTTGTCCCTGCATGGTGGAAGAAAGCCTCCCTGAGCAGGCGGTGTAGGAATGTCCGCATGACATAGGGGTCTGGGAGTCTGCAGACTTGGAGCCACTTATAGCACCTGACATCTTGGAAATGGCAGAGACTCAGCCTACTCATTGGTGGTCATGTACCTAGTTAGTGATGCTGGGGACATCAAGTGTGTCTTCTCTTTGGTGCTTTCCTAGTATGCTATTTGTCTGAATTCTTTTGGTGCACTTTGGTTCTGTTTGTAGATTGAATGCCACCCATATCTTAACCAGAAGAATCTGATTGAGTTTTGCCATAATAGAAATGTGTCTGTGACAGCTTACCGTCCTCTTGGAGGTTCAAGGTAAGGACTTGTTAGACACTGCCAATCTGAATGCTAACCAATGCTAGAACCCCCCCCCCACTTGTGCTTCATTTGAGAGTTGGAGGAACTTCAGTGAAAAGGTGTAGAAGGGGTTGCCCACACCACTCAGGCCCCAGGAAGAAGTTAGAGAGCTACTTCTCAAACTGGAGAGTTGCCTTGATTGGGCTTTCCTGTGAGAGTAGTCAGCTTTGAAGGAATAGACCCAGAATGAAGTGAACCCCTGCTGATCTGTTTGGTAGTTCCTCAGTCAGCTACTAACCTGTCTTTCAGGGCATGTCACAAAACTCAGGATCTTTAGATAAGGCTAAAGTGATGCCTTCTTTCCCCTAACCTGGAGTTTGCACCTTTCCCTTACTGAGCCACCTAAGCCAAAACTGTGGAACCATCCCTTTTCCATAGCCCCATTCCATACAACACAAAGATCAATTGCTTATTGTACTAGCAGATCCTAGAGTCTGTCTTTTGATCTCTGCTGTCACCATCTCTCCCTTAATGAAATACAGAACCTATTAGGTTATTAGCCCCTTAATACCCTTGCCGATCCATCAGTCCCTTTGGGTTACTCTCCTGCTGAAGTGATCTTGTTGCGCACAATCATGTCTGCTTCCTGTTTTCACTTTGTTCTGCCTGAGTGTGTGTGGAGGAGCTGACCTAACTCCATCCTTCTCTGGTCACTCTTTTCCCCATTCCTGCAAATCTTCAAAGTATAAGTCACATAAAACTACTGGTGGTTGCTTGGATAGAATATTCTTTCTAGGGTTGGTATGTAAAATAAAAAATAATTTTTTAAATTAAAAAAGGAACCCTAATAAAAAAGAATATTCTTTGTAGGCATTGCAACTTTGCATATATTGTTCTTTTTAACTAAAATCAGTATTGTGAATTTGCTTGCTCTTGTTTCTGATGTCATGTTCAGCTCAGCAGCTCTGTGCCCTCCAGGAAGTATCCATGAGCCCCTTTTTGTTTTTGGTATAGTGCTCTTGTCATAGCATCTCATCTTTATTCCCTTTCACTATTTCATGCACTAGGTTTCTTTGCACTGATGTCCCCTGACTACAGGGGCCATCTCTTCTTAGTCTATTCCGATCCTCAGACTGGGTGCCAGCAAACTATTAGGAGGCCAGGACTTATTTCATTTTTCTTACCTCTGTGTTTTCCATGTGGAATAGGGTATACATATTTGAACTTCACAGCATCTTGGGAGTTCCTAAAAGTCTGGGTCATATTTTACAGCTGAGCCTTGGCATAGAAGGATCTCTGTTAGAGAAACTGAGGGGCTTCTGGCAAATAATATCCACTCACTCTGGTTCTTTCTGAACACATTGGGAACTGTGATTAGCTTCATTCTTGAATCCTGTTAACTTCTTAATAAAAGATGTTTGCTGGGTTTGATTCCATAGCACTGTGTAAACCAGATGTGGTAGTACATACCTATAACCCCAGCACTTTGGAGAGGAGGCAGAAAAATCAGAAGTCCAAAGTTATCTCAGGCTACATATCAAGCTCAAAGCCAGACATGACACCCTGTCTAAAATAAAATAAAATGGCTTACTTTAGTCACTAGTATCCTTGCCTGGATGAATTTTTGATGGATATAGCCAGTGTTTAAAATATCTTATACTAAAAGTTTTTACAAGAAAAATGATAAGCCTCACCCAGGTCTAGCCAGCAATCCCAGCACTCAGGAGGCAGAGGCAAGGGGAATGATTTTTTTTTTTTCCTGTGGGTGAGCCTTTTTTTTTTTTTATTCTTTTTTTATTTGAATTAGAAACAAGATTGTTTTACATGTAAATCCCAGTTCCCACTCCCTCCCCTCCTCCCCTGCCACCCCCCCACCCCAACTAAAACCCTGTCTATCACATATCCTTTCTGCTCCCCAGGGAGGGTGAGGCCTTCCATAGGCGGTCATCCGAGTCTGTCATATCCTTTGGGATAGGGCCTAGGCTCCCCCTCTACCCCACCCCTGTGTGTCTTAGCTCAGGGAGTATCCCTGTATGCGGATTGGGCTCCCAAAATCCACACCTATGCTAGGGATAAGAACTGAACTACTACAGGAGGTCCCATAGATTTCCAAGGCCTCAAGAGGAATGATTTTGAGGCTAACCAGGTCTACTAAGTAAGTTACCTCAAAAGTAAAAAGTAGTAAGCAAGTAAAATAAATAAATGCTAAATTTTTAATCTTAGAGAAAAGTTAATTCTGTACACTTTTGTGTTAACTATTCTGCTGACTCGACATGCTTTGCTGTGTCTCTCTAGAGATGGGGCTGAGTTGTTGGATGACATTGTCATTCGCAAGATCGCAAAGAAGCATGGGAAATCTGCTGCTCAGGTACAGGGAAAGAAGTGTCATGTGCTGAGCTCACACTTCTCCAACACCTCTTCCCACTGTCCTGAGCCTTGTCAATTTCTAAAAAGGTGTCAGTGCACCTTGGACGATTTGATTGTCCAGAACGCCCCAATTTGGAGCTCTAAGTTGGTTGCTTCTGTGTTCTCATCCAGAACATGTGTTGAGAATATGTGTTCTCAAGCCACATATCCTGCCTTCCTCAGCTGCCAGCACTCAGGATGCCCTCCAGTACCACTTCCTCTGCCCCACCAATGACATAGACAACCAGTGTGAGAGAGAACAGTCATGAAAGTCAGCCTTATCTAAATGTCCTTCTCATTTGGGAAACTGGGTACATGCTAAGGGATTCTAGTAAAGGTGTGGGTGAGTCCTCTAACCGTCTCCTTGGGCTGATGGTGTTCATTCCAGATACATTGACAAAGCAGTTAAGTTTGATTTCTAAAAGCCTTTGAGATTGCAAGACTTTTGTGCTCTTACTGTACAATGAAACTGAACTATCATACTTCCTTAGCCTTGATTCCATTTGTTTTATTTCTGTGTGAAACTTTCTTTCCTACAGATTGTGATCCGATTTCAGATCCAAAGGAATGTGATAGTAATTCCGAAATCTGTTACCCCAAGTCGGATTAGGGAGAATTTCCAGGTGAGCTTTTCCTTTTTTCAGATCATGATGTAGAGAGTAGAGTGCTGGCTAGCTTTCAAAACAGACATCAAGCCCCAGATCTCTATGACTGTCACCCCACAGAGGTGAATTCCTCTGTGAACTGTGTTAATGGTCTGCCTTTCACACAGTGAGTCAGGAGAAGTTCTGACTATGTGCCCCTACCACCACTGCCAAAGCTGGTTATCTTCTCCATTTAACCCAAGATGGGGAAAGAGGTAAGAGATGCTCATGGGGAAGCATGTAACAGACCACTGTGTGGAGTGAGCATCTCCCTCCCATTTCAGTCATTGTGCCATATTGACACTCAACAGAAGCTAGATATGCCCAGTGTGTGCTCAAGAGGAGGGAATGCAGCATCTAGCTGGCCTGGGCCATATGGAGTATGTCCACTAGTCTCTTGAAAGCAGCTGTTGTGGGTGTCATTCACAAGTCAGTGAAAACTGATGTGCTAGGCCTCTTCCTTCACTAGAACATTATAAAATGCTGATTAAGGGAAGCCTTTTGGAGGACAGTCTTTTAAAACTTAACCAAGAATCACAGCAGAAATGGAACCTGATGCTGAGGACAGAGAATAGTGTCATTTTTTAAGAGGCTCACGAGAAAGTGTTAGTCAATTCTTCTGGAACCAGGAGTTGTGTACCTGAGCTTAACTAGAAGAAAAATATCAAGGATCGTAGGCTATGGGCTTGTTCTCTGAGCTGGCCAAAGGCTTTCAATACAAGTGCCTGTGCTCTCTATGACAGCTCAGAATACCTATTTAGTATTTATTCTTGTACTGTTTACTTCTTCCTTGGGTCCCAATGACTCCATCACTGAGGCTGCCTCTCTACTATTCCCTTATCTACTGAGTAGCTGGATTGGCCAAACATGAGGATAGCCATCTTCCTAGGGTAGAGGCTGGTGTCCAACAGCTTCCCTCTTTAGCAGGCTGCAGCCACTGGATGTTCTTCTGTTTGTTCTCCTTGGATTCAGACCTGAGCTCAGCTTCACTGAGTTGTAGTCTCTGTGAGACACTGTTATAGGGGAATTTGATCACAGCTGTCAAGTGTGTTAAAGGGAAAAGGTCAGGAGAGGTAAGAACACTATTTGAAAATGAAGTTACTCAAAAAGTTCTTGTGTGATTTGATGCCAAAGTCAGTACCAACTGACTTCCTATTTGATGGCTTGGGAGGAATGATGTTTTTTTCCTTTTGAAAGGAAGAGGTGGGTCAGTGGAGAAAATACTTTGCATTTTCAAAACTCTTTCTCTGTGTTCCTCACCCCAATAAAATAAAAACAATATATAACTCATCTTTCCAAGGTTTCTTAAATGTAAGTGAGGCTAACCCTGTGTCCATCAAGTGATGAAAATCAAAGTCCATTTTGGGAGGCTCAGCTGTCTTAGGGGAAGTTCTAGGTATCTAATTAAGAATTTCTTTCCCATAATGGTGTCCATTGTAGGGAACACACATGCCAATTAAATTAATCTGAATTCCCTATTATCATCTGCTTTTGATTCCAGGTATTTGATTTTGAATTAACAGAAAAAGATATGGAGGAACTCCTCAGCCTAGACAAGAACCTCCGGTTGGCCACATTCCCCTTGTAAGTCCATCTCCTTTACTTCCTTTTAAAAATTAAGGGAGCTATACACAAGCAGAGTCACTGGTTCTTCAATAGATATTTACTGTTATATTCAAGCTTAATTAAACCTTACTGTAACTCTTTGTTGTTTAATGTTGGGCCAGTGACTAAAGACAGTGACTAATTTTTATACAAGATATTTAAAAAAAGCACAACTCTGTCAGCTTAAGATATTTCCTTTAAAAATGCCTGTTCTTTATTTCTGTTTGGAATTTGTGATTCTGTCTTACAGAACTGAACACCACAAGGACTATCCTTTCCATATAGAGTACTGATGACAGCTTCACTCAGCCCCCTTTGTTCTCAGGCCACCAAGGTTGGCAACATGGCTCCACCTCTACAAAGGCTGTGCAGTCTCAGTCAGGAATGACAACAGATTTAGAAGCAAGGAAAATCCTGCCCAGAGCAGAGGACCAGTTCTTGGAGAAATATAAATATCTAGGGATGAGAAACGAAAGTGCCATGAGGGCCGTGGTTGTGGATTAGTTGTTAGGCTGTTGCTTGAGCAGTGTAATTTATGTGGATTAGTCCTTGTGGCTTCTGTCCTCTAAAAGAAGATATTGATGGCCATGAATTGAAATTACCTTTGCCTTTGAAGAAAACCTGCTTGAAAGAAGGGTTTGAATCATCTGAAATATGTGAGAAGTTAGTATAATTAATATCCACAAGTCATCTTCAAAAGCCATCAGCCTGAGGCCAGTTATATTTCCCTTCATACTACGCTCTGCACTCCAGAGTTTTCTAGATTATTTTCAAGCAAAATCTACCTGCACTTAAGAAAAGGAAAATCTAGGGTCCTTTTTGTTTCCTAGCTTCTATAGAGTTGTGGGTTGTAGGCTGTTATCCTTTGCTCTATGTCCAATATCCACTTATGACTGAGTACATACTCTGTTTTTCTGTGTCTCGGTTACCTCACTCAGTATGGTTTCTTCTAGTTTTTTCCATTTGCCTGTGAATTTCAAGATTTCGTTGCTTTTTTTCCAACTGAGTAGTACTCCATTGTGTAAATTTACCACATTTTCTTTATCCATTCTTCAGTTGATTGTTATAATAATAAATTAAAAGATATATTCACTATATTTATCATGAATCAATTGGTACATAGTATTGGAATTCATAAATTATCACATAGAATGTAAGTGGAAAATATAGAAAAATGACCACATAGCATTTTCAAAGTAGACTGTCAATAAAGAATCAAAAGTATTAATTAAATAAAACTTGAAATTTAAAAATTTTCTTTTGGCAAAATGCATTCATTAAGAATATTTTCTTAGGTGGGCAGTGGTGGCACACGTTTTTAGTCCCAGCACTGGAGAGTCAGAAATAAGATTATCTCTGTGAGTTTGAGGACAGCCTGGTCTACAGAGTGAGTACCAGGACAGACTTCAAAACTACACAGAGAAACCCTGTCTCAACCCCCCTCCAAAGAATCACCCCCCCCCCCCAGGAGGGCAACTAATCCCCTCCCTATCCTATCCCCTATCTGCTCCCCAGGGAGGGTGAGGCCTTCCGCAGGGGGTCTTCAAAGTCTGTCCTATCCTTTGGGATAGGGCCTAGGCCAACCCCCTTGTGTCTAGGCTCTGGGAGTATCCCTACATGTATCTCTGTGAGTTTGAGGACAGCCTGGTCTACAGAGTGAGTACCAGGACAGACTTCAAAACTACACAGAGAAACCCTGTCTCAACCCCCCTCCAAAGAATATTTTGGTTTTTTTTTTCTTTGTTAAGAAAGAAGATTATTTTACATGCTAATCACAGATCACTCTCCCTCACCTCCTCCCCTGCCCTCAACTAATACCCTACCTATCCTATACCCTATCTGCTCCCCAGGGAGGGTGAGGCCTTCCGCAGGGGATCTTCAGAGTCTGTCCTATCCTTTGGGATAGGGCCTAGGCCAACCCCCTTGTGTCTAGGCTCTGGGAGTATCCCTACATGTAGGATGGGCTCCCAAAGTCCATTCCTATGCTAGGGATAAGTACTAATCCACTTCGAGGGGCCCCATAGATTTCCAAGGTCTCCTCACTGACACCCACATTCAGGGGGCCTGGATCAGTCCCATGCTGATTTCCCAGCTATCAGTCTAGGGATCAAGACCTCTCCCTTGTTCAGGTTAGCTATTTCTGTGGGTTTCATAAGCATGGTATAGACCCCTTTACTCATCCCTCCTCCTTCTCTGCAACTGGATTCCAGTTCAATTCAAGGTTTAGCTGTGGGTGTCTGCTTCTACTTCCACCAGCTGCTGGATGAAGGCTATACGATGTCATATGAATTAGTCATCAATCTCATTGTCAGGAGAGGGCATTTAAGGTAGCCTCTCTTCTGTTGCTTAAACTGTCAGTTGGTATTATCTTTGTAGCTCTCCAGACATTTCCCTAGTGCCTGAATTCTCTTTAAACCTATAATGTCTCCCTCTATTATATTATCTCTTATCTTGCTCTCTTCTGTTCTTCCCCCAACTGAACCTCCCTGCCCCATCATATCGTCTTCACCCCCCTCCTCTCCCCTTCTTTTATTTTCTTTATTCCTGAAATTCTATACATGTATACAGTAAAATATGATCATATATGCTACCCAATTTCCCCCATTTTTCATCATATATACTCCATTATTCTCCCTCTTCCAATTTCACTTTTTTATTACCTATAAAGTTGTGAAGAATAGTATAAATTATAGTATAAATTACTATTTGTTGATTTTTTTCAATGTGACACAAACTAAAATAAGGAAACCTAAATTAAGGTGTTGCCTCTATCAGATTTGCCTATGTATATTCCTGAAATGTATTTATTTGATTAGTTATTGATATTAGAGATCTCAGCCCATGGTAAGCAGTGCCATCCATGAGCAAATCGTCAGTTTGTTTAAGGAAGGTAGTTGAGCAATGCATGGAAGCAAGTCAGTAAGCAGCAATCCACCATGGTCTCTGTTTCGGTTTCTGCCTTATCTTTCCCCCAGGATAGGCTTTATCATATAAGTCAATAAGCCCTTTAACCCAAATTGCTTTTGATTAATATTTTCTCATAGCAACAGTAAAACAAACTAAGGCACTGCTATGAGCATTTGTAGTTGCTCCATAAAAACTCCAGCCTTCTGAATAAAAATATCAAGAAAAGCAGTAAATAAAGCTTCTAAGAAAAGCGTTTCCAATTCAGATAATTGAAGACAGAGTTTTCCTGTCCCATAGGCGCCCTCAAATAAACACATGGAGCCTTAACATTAATTGTAAATGCTTGGCCAATACCTCAGGCTTCTAACTAGCTAATTCTTACACTTAAATTTATCTGTATTTCCATCTGCACTTTGCCCAAGGCTTGGTAGCTTTTCTCAGTATGCCATGCCCATCCTGCATCTCCCTGTGCCTGTTGGTGACTCCTCCGACACTGCCCCCTTCACTCCAGCATTCTCTCTGTCTCAGACTGTCTTGCCCAGTCTCTCCCTGCTTAGCTATTGACCAATCAGCTTTTTTGTTAGCAATGCCAGCAAGACATATTTACCTTTTACAGAAGGATTATTCTAGAGATTTTCTCCCCTTTTGTCTAATTAAAAAGGAAAATTAACATTTGTTGGGCCCCAGCCCCCACTGGGTCTCCGTGAGTTGCTTGTTAGCCAATTACCACAGGTGCATCCTGTTTTCTAGTCCTGGCTTACAGCCCTGGCCTCGACCCACTACACTTGGGAAAACAGGAGCTCTTCTGGAGCTCTTACACCTGGGGTTTTTCTACTGTGCTGTAAGTGTATATAAGGCTGCTTTCTGCCTGGAATAAAGGCAAACAGACACATAGCACAAGTGGCCAGAGGTCTCTGCTTTTAATTAGCTCTCCAGGCTTTCACCAGATACTCGGACTTAGTCATGGCACGGATGCCACAAACATTAACATAGAAAATTACATATAACAAAACAGTTATTAAGTAAGAATTACAGTTACAATATCCAATCCATTTGTTCATTATCAGTCAAATATTTTAAAGACAACACAGAAACATACAATATCCTGATTCTGTGTATTTTTCATCTTTACATGGGTTATTATATTTTTATTACTCATTTCTTCTTGAAGGACTTTATTGTAAGACTATATTTTTTAATCTATGACTGCATATATCCTTTTTCTTTTCTCTCCCAAGCCTACACATACGTTTTAAACACACTGTGACCCTTTAAATGTTCTTTTTGTTCTGTGCATCTGTAAACTTTTCTGTTTGAATGAGGGGGGTAGGGGTGGGGGGGACCATAACTGCTGTGTAACTTAGATCATGGCATGCTGGTCCTGGCTCCACCCCTTCAATTCCCTAAGGAGCTAGTTTCATGGTGAAGGCAAGTTTACCACCAGCTCTGGAAGCCATATTTACCATCCCAACTCTGGGAAGTTTTGGAGTCAATGATGTCACCAAGAACCATGTTTCTTGCTGCTCATGAACACCATATGAGTGTTTTGTAGTAACACTCTGAAAAGAGCCATCTATTTTTGTGTGTGTGTGTGTGTGTGTGTGTGTGTGTGTGTGCTAGCATTGAGACAGGAAGCATTCTCTTAAGGAGACATAATTCTGCTTGAGGCCAGCAAACAAAGCTTCTGGGGGAAAAGGCAGTTACCAAGAAACCATGAATGAGTCTGTTCTTTTATGTGTTTAGAATCCCTTTATATAAGCTTTCTCTGGTTTTAGGTAGAAAGTCTTGCCAAAGGTTTGGGTGCCATATGAAGGAGGAGCTTTCCTATCCCACAACCATTCTCAAATAAACACACTGAGAATTAGTATTTATTGTAAATGCTTGGCCAATAGCTCAGACATGTTTCTACTCATATTAACCCATATTTCTTTCTATACTTTGCCACATGTCTTGGTAACTTTCTCAGTACGGTGTATCCATCTTGCTTCTCACCTGTGTCTGCTGATGACTCCTCTGCATTCTCCAGTCCAGCATTCTCTCTGTCTCAGGATGTCTCACGAAATCTCTTCCAACCCAGCTAATCTCTTCCTACCCAGGTACTGGTCAATCAGCTTTTTGTTAGTAATGGGAACAATACCTATTTACAGTATATAGAAAAATTATTCCACAGCAGAGAATTACTTGGCAAATGCATTTTCAAACAAGCATTTACAGAAGAGTAAGTACAAATACTTTCCTTGTTCATCTGAAACCCTAGACTACTGAAAGTCCTCAGTGCATTTCTGCATTTGTAAAAAGTAAAGCTCAACAAGCAAACAAATTAGGTACCTATGCTGGCTTTTCCCGTACAAAATATACTATAAATGTGAAAGTTAACAATAGATAGAATAGGCACTCAGGGCAAGATTGATGTTGCTGTGACAAGAGAAAACGTTCTGTGATACAGAGGCCCAATATACATCATGAGGTGTTATGT